TTCCCTAAGTTTGTGAAACTTTACATCACTCATATCTGCAGGCTATTTTTAGGGCTAAATATAGGATGAGAAACTAAGAAAAATCATCAGCAACAGGATTGAAAGAGCAGAAAATTTTATCTGTTTAACTGTGATTTGTCATGTTTAGAATTTAATGTGGGGTTATAGCTTACATCCCTAAGAACATACTGGACTAACTAATCTATGTTGAAGTAGTTTCTATGTAGTCAAGCTAAAACTTGAGCAACACAATGGCCAATGAGAGTTTTTAGAACATTCTTAATACAGTTAGATTTACACTCTGATTTTTCTGAACAACCTACAGAATAGTTGCCTTTTTATAACATTCTATCAATTTCATTACTGCTAAAATCTCTTAAAAATGTCAAAGGCCTCTGACCTTCTGATCAGGTGTTTGAAACTTCATGAAGCATTTTGGAGAAGGAATGCCTCTATGTAATATTTTGTAGCTTGACTATACACACACACAAACAGGCAGGAAAGCAAAATGATTTTTTTTTTCCATTAATTTGGACTGTTTCCCTAGAGAAATGTACTAAGAATACATTCATTTCTAATTCCTGTGAGATTAGGCAAATGTAAATAATGTCAATTTTTATTGAAAAGGATTGCACTCTTTTTCTTGCTCCTAGTCCAATATGGGGATTAACAAACAAAATAATAAAAACCAGGAAAACTAATAAGGGCTACTCACTGCTTCCATTTTGTTGGGTTGAGTGTAATTTGTGCCAAGCAGTATTTTGAATTCTGCCCCATACCTAGATGGTCTGATAGTCTAAATTGTGGCTTGCACACACTAAATGCTAACACATTGGGTTCAACTGAGAATCAAGACTCAGGAAGGATTGAAGACCAAGAAAATCCAGACTCCACAACAATAGGAAAAATACTGAACAGAATCTGGTTGAGGGAGTGGGAAGATGGATTGGAATCCTATAAACTTTGGGTTGTGGGGCAACTTACTGGGAAAAGCAATGTTTTAGCAAAAAAATGTTCAGCAAAATGCAGGTTTTTGTCCCTATATAGAACACTATTTCACTTCCTTAGGAATACTGCTATTTCCAGCAAAAACCTCCTTGCAAACTATGGTTTCAAAGAGTGCTGCATTCTTTCTTGAATACTTTGGCCTAGCACCAAAGTTCCCCATAAGCCCAAAAGAGAGATGTATTCTGAGTGTGGGCTTTGGACACACCAAATACCTGCATTGTGCTGAAGAACTGCTTCACCTTCCCAGCCCTGCACTTCCCTCACATCCCATCCTGATACATGGATGGGGTATAATAAGATACAACTTAAGTTTCTTTTTTGTTGAAGTTGACCTTTATCTTGCAGCCCTAATGAAGTCTTTTGATGTGCTCCTAAGATACATGGTCTCCTTTTTAGCATTCTGTTTGCCATGCCTGCTTTAACGAGTGGGCTCACGACGAACGTAAGTTTTCATGCAATGCCTCCCTTGGGTCCCAGTTGTTCTTTTCTCTCATAGTTGCCCTTGAGTCATGCCATCCTGAAACATCACTAGCCCGGAAGAAGCTTGTCAGTGGGGAATTAGGACAATGTGTCTTTCATGTCAATGATGAGTGTGCCCGCTTGGCCCCTGTATTACGATCATCACTGATCACAGAATGAGCAGAGAGGGTGAGAAAAAATGAGGTTTGTGTGTGTTGTGGAGATAATAACCTAAAATACAATGGGTAGGGAACCACTGGTGTGATGGATAATGTAGAATCAAACTGCCACCGGATGGCTTTGCAGTTCAAACCACCCCTCCTGAAAGCAGCTGCTCTTAGAAAAAGAGTTTGAAAAACCTTCCCAGAAAGTCAGGCATGTGTTCCCTAGTAGTGATTTGCATTAAAAAAAAAAGGAATTCGGAGCCACATACCCTGTAGGCGCACTAAGCAAATTGGCCAGCCTAATTATTATTTTTTGGTATGTCTAATTAAATAGACAAAAGGCCCTCCTTTCACTCTTGCTGTCGGCACGAGCTCCACTGGAATGTACATAATGTCCCCTCATTTGCCCAGGCAGCTGAGCTTTCCCTTTTCCACTTGGAGATCGGCGTTGACAACTGCCCATGGCTTACCCACTCCTACTCATACACAGAGACAGAGAGTCAGATGGGAAGGGAAAGGGAGTCAATTGACCTGGTTCTGTTAAAAACTACCGGACAGTGCTGTATGATGTGAAATGTCTTTGTTGCAGGTTATAAGCATGCCATGGCCATCAAACACTTTCTGCCTAGTGTTGGACAAGTTCTCTAGAATTTATTTTACAGGAACTCCAGAAGTGTAGTATTTATCTCTAAGCTTTTTGGAGTTTTTCCAGCACTCAGCTCTTCTCCTGCTCTGCAATTACACCACAGCCCTTCCTTACAGAGCCTCTATTGCCCTGCTGGTTTCACCACTCTGCAACACCAGCCTTTTAACTACAAGCTACGTACAGAGTCTTCCAATGACTTGAGTCACTGGAGAGCTTCAGCCTCACACTGATGCAATCAAAGCCTCTGGAATCCAAAGCTTTCAACTGAAAAAAAGAACAGAATTTCAGGGCCTTTTGTCTGTGAGGCATTTTACTCCTTTTAAGTAGTTGTTGCTGGGGATTTCCACTAATGACAGCACAAAGACATTTATTTCATAAATGAGGAAGAGTTTACATCTATAGTGGAAATTAAAGAGCTTTCACACATCTAAAGGCCACATAATTACTAAATGACAAAATCTGCTCCCACATTTATATGACACATATAAACCACTAGTGTTTTTACAACATATATGGGCAAAATTCTCTATTTTTTTCCCACAGAGACAGGGGTAGAGAGGAAGGAAGCACCACATATATAAATGTGTATATATAGACACATATAAAAATGTACAGATATTAGGAAAAAAAGCAGAATGTCAGTCTGTTCAGCATTATGGGCCATCTCACACTTTCTCAATGAGCTCTGCTTTTGATCTGACAAACAGGCCCCTACTGAAAGAGTATGATGAAGTATCACCACATCAGTTCTGGTAGAAAACCTTTTACAGGAAACACCTTATCACTGGTGATCTATTGAACGGTTACTTAGCAAAGCCTTCCAAATCCACTGTGCAGGATGGAAAAACAAAAGGCCGGATCTTGATTTCAGCTACATCTGTTCAAATCCTGAATAACTCCCCCAGACTGAGAGAGGTCTTCAGTTTCCATAACAGGTTTATCCAGATAAGCTGATACAGGTGTGGAAAGCTTTGCTACCTCAGAATTTGCTTTTTCCAGAAGCAGAGTTGCTTCAGTACAATCAGAAACAACATGGTCACTGAAACCATAAAATATCTGCTTTATCCTAACCAAATTAAACACTTCTGCAGCTCAGACCAACATAGGTCTGAAAAAACTACATTGCTTGTCACCGCTGTTAAACTTTGTTAAGTCAGTGCCTGATGCTTCACTTTTTAATGAGGCAGTTATTTGTTTCCCAGGCAATCGCTGGCACCTGCCTGCCTTTTAAAATCAAATAATAATTGAATATGAGGAAAGCGAGACGAAGTAAAGGAGATTTAATAAAGAGAATCTTTGCTGCAGAGGGAATTTCTTTGGCAGTGATTACGTTACTAATTGATCAGCACATTGCCTGAGAGAAGATGGAGACTACAATTATACTTAGTAATGTGGCTGAAAGCAATGCAGTCAACTACCTCCTCGGCTTTCGCTGTCCGCTGGTTTCACCTGGATAGGCCTGTTCATCTGTAAGAAAGAGCAAAAAGAGAGAGACACAATTAATAGTGGAATAAAACATTAATACAGCAAAGTCTTGATTTGTTGTTTTTTTTTTACCAAAAAATAATTCATAGTTTGCACCAGAATGTACTTCATGAGGGGGGAAAAAAAACAATTAGTAAGCAAAGAAGTAACCACGAAGTACAGGTTGCTTCTTAGTCTTAGGTAAATCAGTGTCACCCCATTTACTTGACAGGGGTTCTGTTGAATCATGTTGGGAGAGACATCTGACTCATTTCACAGAGGTCATGAAATTTTAAACACACCTTTTAACATTTCTAAGAGTTTCCTATAGAAAAACTGCTGTATCAAAGTAGGAATGCTTTGTCAGAATATTGGGATCAGTGAAATTATAGTTACAAGGTTTTCTTGAGATTGACATGATGAAAAGAAGATAGAAAAATGAATTCTACTTCCATTGTTAGCTCAGTAGGACAGTCACCTCTAACACAGCAGACAGTTTCATAACTGTGGAATGCAATTTAGATCTGGTTTACCCATATACTGCAAGAGTGCTCATTATTGAGATTTTTTTCACACAGGAGAGGGTCGAATATGAGTCAAAATGTCTCCCTCTGTTGCTTTTTTAAACATCATTTTCCTTTCTCACATCAGAACATTAGCAAGTATAGAAGCCTTGCCACTGTGCTGTGAATAGGAGTTCTGTACTCTAATTTATTCCTCTTTCTCTCAGCAAAAGCGTTGGCATTGCCCCCACAGCTGTCCAGTCCCAGGAAAGAAGGTAACAGATGCCCACAATCGTCTTCTCCTGCAGTGCCTAGCATGATGTGGATCTCTGATGAACAGGGGTTAGCATTCAGCTCTGCTGTTAATAGCTGGAGACACAGAATGGATCAGAACCAGCTGAGATTTCAATCTGAAAGCCCTTCCCTACTTCTTCCTCCATGTCACTTAAAGCAGCCTGTACATTATGGAATTCTGACTATTCAGAATATCTTCTGTGTGTAGCTACACCTGAGTGGAATGAAATTATCCTTTAGATTTGGCAACTAAAGAAAGTGCAACTTCAAAAAAGCATCACAAGGAGCAAGAAGTCAGAAAGCAATGGGAAGCTCCCAACATTGTTACCGAATAAAATCAGACCACAAATTGGCTGATGATTGTCACAGGATGCCTTCAGGTGATACCGTCCCTCCCTTACTTGTGGCTAACTGCAGCCAGGCAGCAAGACTGCTGGTTTTCTTTTCCTTTCCTTTCCTTTCCTTTCCTCTCCTTTCCTTTCCTTTCCTCTCCTTTCCTTTCCTTTCCTCTCCTTTCCTTTCCTTTCCTCTCCTTTCCTTTCCTTTCCTCTCCTTTCCTTTCCTTTCCTCTCCTTTCCTTTCCTTTCCTCTCCTTTCCTTTCCTTTCCTCTCCTTTCCTTTCCTTTCCTCTCCTTTCCTTTCCTTTCCTCTCCTTTCCTTTCCTTTCCTCTCCTTTCCTTTCCTTTCCTCTCCTTTCCTTTCCTTTCCTCTCCTTTCCTTTCCTTTCCTCTCCTTTCCTTTCCTTTCCTCTCCTTTCCTTTCCTTTCCTCTCCTTTCCTTTCCTTTCCTCTCCTTTCCTTTCCTTTCCTCTCCTTTCCTTTCCTTTCCTCTCCTTTCCTTTCCTTTCCTCTCCTTTCCTTTCCTTTCCTCTCCTTTCCTTTCCTTTCCTCTCCTTTCCTTTCCTTTCCTCTCCTTTCCTTTCCTTTCCTCTCCTTTCCTTTCCTTTCCTCTCCTTTCCTTTCCTTTCCTCTCCTTTCCTTTCCTTTCCTCTCCTTTCCTTTCCTTTCCTCTCCTTTCCTTTCCTTTCCTCTCCTTTCCTTTCCTTTCCTCTCCTTTCCTTTCCTTTCCTCTCCTTTCCTTTCCTTTCCTCTCCTTTCCTTTCCTTTCCTCTCCTTTCCTTTCCTTTCCTCTCCTTTCCTTTCCTTTCCTCTCCTTTCCTTTCCTTTCCTCTCCTTTCCTTTCCTTTCCTCTCCTTTCCTTTCCTTTCCTCTCCTTTCCTTTCCTTTCCTCTCCTTTCCTTTCCTTTCCTCTCCTTTCCTTTCCTTTCCTCTCCTTTCCTTTCCTTTCCTCTCCTTTCCTTTCCTTTCCTCTCCTTTCCTTTCCTTTCCTCTCCTTTCCTTTCCTTTCCTCTCCTTTCCTTTCCTTTCCTCTCCTTTCCTTTCCTTTCCTCTCCTTTCCTTTCCTTTCCTCTCCTTTCCTTTCCTTTCCTCTCCTTTCCTTTCCTTTCCTCTCCTTTCCTTTCCTTTCCTCTCCTTTCCTTTCCTTTCCTCTCCTTTCCTTTCCTTTCCTCTCCTTTCCTTTCCTTTCCTCTCCTTTCCTTTCCTTTCCTCTCCTTTCCTTTCCTTTCCTCTCCTTTCCTTTCCTTTCCTCTCCTTTCCTTTCCTTTCCTCTCCTTTCCTTTCCTTTCCTCTCCTTTCCTTTCCTTTCCTCTCCTTTCCTTTCCTTTCCTCTCCTTTCCTTTCCTTTCCTCTCCTTTCCTTTCCTTTCCTCTCCTTTCCTTTCCTTTCCTCTCCTTTCCTTTCCTTTCCTCTCCTTTCCTTTCCTTTCCTCTCCTTTCCTTTCCTTTCCTTTACTTTACTTTACTTTTTCTTCTCTTTTTCTTCTCTTTTCTTTTTCTTTCTTTCTTTTTTTCCCCTATTTTTTTTTTTCCCCCTGAAAGTAGTTCATACTCATTTAGATTTATTCTAATTGCTCCACACACATATTTAGTAATAAAAAGTTATCAAGCTTGCTGACATGTAGGGTAAGATGATGGAGAGCCTAGCAGATTATGCTGCATTGTTGTCTCAAGAGGAAAATGTACTTAGCCATAAACTGACTACTGTTAGCCTCATACTCGTGAGGAGGAGGAGGATCGATGGCTCCAGACACTGCTGCGCAATTGCTAGTCTTCTGTATGCCTGTATCATCCAACAGACTCCAGACAGCTGAAGTGCTAAGACCAGCAAAGAATCTGGTACCAGATAAACTGTGTATTCTACAATTGAAAAGACCTGTAGCTCACACACATATTCACAAAATATTAGCAGGGTTGGAGGAGATATGTACAGCAGTAGCAGAATGAACAACCTACAATGAAGCTTCTGTAGCCGCAGGTGAGCAGTTAGCTGTTACAAACATTTAAAAATCTGACATCACATACGTAAGGACAGTAATTTATATTATGTAATTCCAAATGTCTGAAAAGTGTAATTTTAAGCCACTTTTAGGATTGGAGTCTGAGATAAAAAGGATCAACGGTCCTCAGCAGCACCTGTTTTTCTCCAATGATTGTACAGGCAGTCCATGCAGTTAGAATTAAGTGAGATTAACCCCATCTTAGTCCTCATACACAGGATCATGAAAACAAACTTTTCGGTTATTGTGCCCTAACTTTCCCCAGCTGCTCAACCACTGTGACTGGTTTGTGTTTACAGCATGTTGATGTTGACATCACCCATGTACTAAGGTCTTCCTTGAGAGCTATTAACTTGTGACAGATGCGTTAACACTATATATTACAAGTTCCTAAGGCACACACAATGGCCAATCTAACTCCAGTTGGTCAGAGGATGGTGGTCAAGGGTCCCTGATGCTCACTCCAAAATAACCAGAACCTGCCTCCTGAGCAGTCTGTAAGAGAAACAGTCATAGTAGCCAGGAATTTATAGGAGGTGTGCTACGTACAGCCCTGAGAGGCAAAGGCTGGAGTCCAAAATTGACACAGCCTTGCAATGCAGATAATCACTTAAATCTACCAATGTAAAAGTCTGCTAAAGGCCATGAAAATCCCCGCTGAACTTGAGTAAGCTTTGGATACAGTCTTTAGAAAACCAAGACAGAGCTCTTCTTACTTCTTGTTGAGTTGGATGCATTCAGATAGATACTTCAAAAAAATAAGAGGGGACATATTTCTGTGGGTTTGGTGGTTTTTTTGTCACTGTTTGTTTGTTTGTTTGTTTTTATTTAGAAGCATGAGAAAAGGAAGACTATTCTCAAGAAAACAGGGAAAAAAAAAAGGGAGGGAATGAGCATCCACAAGAGGAACAAAAAACTGGGGAAATTAATAAGTAAAAGGCTAGTGTAATTTAATGTACTTTATGATTTATACACTTGACAATTTCTTTATAGACCAAACAGAAAGTGCTGCCTGCACAGAGCCCATAATACAAATTGAGATAATCTTGACACGAAAGACACCAATTATAGGGAGAAACACTGAGAGGAAAATAATTAAGTCTTCTCTCTTCATCTATAGAACTTTTTTTTTTTAAAAAAAAACAAACAACCAACAAACAAAGAAACACAGACACTCTGGGAACAAGAAGCTGGCACAGGGAGCAGAAAAGAGCTAATGGGGAAATAAAATGGCAGAAAGATGTTCTTTCCTGAGGCTGGGAAAATGCTTCATTGGAGAGAAGGAAATCCAGAGGTTCAAGCTCTCTGTTTATTCTTGAGCTGGGAATTATAATAGGTTTCAGGCAAAGAGAGCTAAGTTTATACACCAAACTGCAGTCTTCTGGATAGTGGTTGTGGGAATAATGGTATGGACATCTTTAATATCTATGTTGACTTGGTGGACCTTGAGAATGCAATTGGAGAAAGATTATTTGCCAGTGAGTAAATATGATTAATACCATGGGTTAATTAATTCAAGTGGAATCATAGTAACTATGGATTTGACTGTGAAGTTTTATTGATTGCTATCACCAGATTTCTTCAAAAGGCATTTGGCAACATGAGAAAAAACCTAAGCAGACTAGAGCCAGCATTTGAATTGGCAGTTGGATTGGACGAACTCGGTTAGGGTCTTCTCCAGGATGTGTTACATTTCCATCCATTGTTATGGTCCTTCTTTCCTCTGCTTATGGATTCTCTTTGTGCTCTATTTGAAATATGATCATCATTCCTTATTCTGGATTATCCTTTTTGGGCTGCCACAGTGAAAGTGTTTTGTTTTGCCATTAGTTAACCCACTAAGAGTTTACCCTCTTTACCTCTTTACCC